CTTCAAAGGCTGGAGGGAACCATTGTCAATGTCTAGTCTGACCCCCTGTATCACGCAGGCCGGAGAACGGCCTGTCGGCCCCAACCCCTTCCCAGAGCAGAGCTTTCAGAACCACATCCAATCTCGCTTGGAAAATGGCCAGTGATGGAGAATCCACCCTGACAGCTGGGAAATTGTTCCCCCGGTTAATTACTCCCACTGTTCACAATTGACGCCTTCTTTCTGGTCTGAATTCGTCCAGCCACAACTGTCAGCCCCTGGGTGGCGTCAGATCATTCCCTGCAAGATTGACAAGCCGATTATTAAATATCTCTTCCCCATTGTGCCGGAGTGGGGATTTTCCATAATATTTTATATGAATAGCATGTGTGCCTCAGTTTCCCCTGTGTGGTGCATGGATAGCAAGGTGGTTTCCTCTCTGCAGAGACACAAGGGTAACAGGTGTCTGGCTGTGTGGGGTCTGGGCCCCATGGCCACGGGAGTCCAAGAAGACCATGGTCACTATACTTGCCTGGGTGCTTGATACCGATCAAGTAACACCCAGGGATGGCCCACCCTTCTGCAGGATGCCAGCCGGATTTGAGCAGCGGGGGGCTGAAGGCTCTGAGGTTCGGTCCCAGGAGGCAGTGAAGCCAAGTGGCTTCCCCTAGTGCCAGCAAGAGACCCTAAGGGGGCAGGCTGGTACCCTGAAGGGGTCCCCCCAGGACTGTTCCAGAGCACCAGACCCCTGCACCCATGTAGGTACTTATGGACTTTGATCAACTCACTCCTTGGGAGTTTGTGAGTCTCTCACTCTCAGGCAGGGTTTCAGATCCTTTCATCATTCCCGTGGCTCTTCTCCAACCCCTCTGCAACTTACCAACATCCTTGTGTTGTGGCTCCAGAACTGCCCATGGGATCCCAGCCATGGTCGCACCAGGGCCAAATACAGAAGTAAAATCACCTCTCACGCACCTTACAGAAGCCTAAGTCTATTATCTTAATGCTATTACCTTTATCAACTACATTTGTCATCGCCTCAAAAAAGATACCAAGTTAGATTGATGGCTCTATTTCCCATAAACCCATGTTGATTACATTGACCTCCTTTAGTTCTTTATTAATCGAGTCCCGTATCAGCCGCTCCATTATCTTGCCTGGGATCGATGGCCGGCTGAGAGGCCTATAATTACCCAAGTCATCCCATTTATCCTTTTTTTAAATTGACACATTAGCTTTCTTCCAGACTTCTGGAACTTCCCCGGTGCACCAAGACGTATTGAAAATCAACATTAATGGTCCAGCGAGCCCCTCAGCCAGCTCTTTTAAAACTCTTGGATGCAAGTTATCTGGACTTGCTGATTTTAAAATGTCTAACTTTAGTGTCTTCTTTTTAACATTGTCCAGAGATGCTATTAAAAGGGAAAGTATATTATCACCGTATGATGAGACTGGCTCATCTTTTTCCCCCCACAAATATGGAACAGGAATATTTATTGAACATTTCTGCCTTTTCTGTATTATTATTGATAAATCTACCAGTCCCATCTAGTAATGGACCAATACCATTGTCAGGATTCTTTTTTCCCCTAATATATGTTGTCCTTAACTGTGACTGCCACAGATTTCTCCTTGTGTCCCTTGTCTTCCCTTATCAATTTTCTACAATTCCTAACTTCTGATTTATACTCATTGCTATCAATTTCTCCTTTTATATATTTTTTTAATATTGTATTTTTTACCACTGCCATCACTTTTCTAAATCAGGTTGCTGTTGGGTGTTGTTTGGTTTGTTTTGATTTTTATTTTATACCAGCACAGCCTTCTTCCTCAATTGTAGGATTGTGGCTGGTGGGGCATCTGGTAAGCTATTCTTAAATGAGTCCTGATTACCACTCACATTTTTCTGATTGCAAGAGTGAGTCCTGTGGCACCTTTAAGACTAACAGATGTATTGGAGCATAAGCTTTCGTGGATGAATAACCACTTTGGGTATTCACCCACAAAAGCTTATGCTCCAATACATCTGTTAGTCTTAAAGGTGCCCCAGGAGTCTGTTGCATTTTACAGATCCAGACTAACACAGCTATCCCTCTGATATTTTTCTGATTAAATTCTTCCTTCTAACTGATTTGGCTCCGTCACAGCCCCCTTTGTTTTACTGCTCCCCACTCACTGCAGGAATCCCCGTCCATGGGGTGCAATAGATCCCAACGTTGTCACCAGGCAGTGCTCTGGAACTACTCCATATGAAGCCAGTCAGGACTCTGGGGGAGCTGCCTCTCTCTGAGCAGACTGTCTCAAGGGCAAGAAGCTTCCACCTTCCTGGGCCTGACCTCGGAGCATTCAGCCTCCCCTGCCCCACCATGCGCTTCCCACAGTGAATCCACCTGGGTGGGGTTCTGGGGGAGCCAGAGGGCTCTGCCCCCACCTCCGCAGTCAGATGTGACTCAGCTAGCCAGTAACACAGAAGGTTTATTAGACGACAGAGCTTATAGGTACCGAAACCGGACCCCTGAGTCAGGTCCATCTTGGGGTGAATGAGGCCAGACCCCAGGTCTGGGCCTCCCACTCTTTCCCCAGCCACCTCCAAAGTGAAACTCTCCAGCCCCTCCTCTGGCCTTTGTCTCTTTCCCGGGCCAGGAGGTCACCTGATCTCTTTGTTCTCCAACACCTTCAGCTGGCACCTTTGCAGGGGAGGGGACCAGGCCATCAGGAGACAGGGTATTGGCCGTTCTCTATGCAGACAGCATCACACCGGCCCCCTCGGGCTCTGCAACAATCACACCCCCTGATCCCACCACCTAGCGACTTAAGAACTGCATAGGGGAAACTGAGGCACCCACACAGTATTCAGAGAAAACATTAAGAACATTCCCACTTTGTCACAGCCTCATAATTGTTTTCAGATTTGTGAAATTAGCCCAATTAAAACACCAAGTATATATTATTACTGGTCTGGACTTTATTGTTCTTGCATATAATCATCCCACACTAAACTGATTTCCTTCTTTGAGGAAATAACTGACTTTTCAGCTACAGGCCGTGCAGTAGATCTAATATACTGGGGCTTCAGGGAAGCATTAGGCACGGTACCACACGGGACATGATTAGTTAAGGATGGATATCCTGGAACGCTGAACTGTAGCACTGGCTGTACAATTATTTACCGTATCTCCTGTGCTTGGTTGCTCCTTGCTCACGTGCTCAGGGTCTAATTGATCACCATACGTGGGGTGGGGAAGCAATTTCCCCCTGCGTTAGATTGGTAGCAACGTGGGGGGTTCCTCTTCCTCTGCAGTGTGGGATGTAGCTGGCCCTGCCCTGTCAGTGATGTCAGGGCGGAGTGGGGGTTTAAAGCAGGCAGGCCGGGCAGTTGCGGGGTAGCTCTGGGGCAGGGCTGGGCTGGAGTCCCATGAGGGGGTCCTGAAGAGCTCCCGGGGAAATCGCCCCTGTGATGTGTAAGGAACCAGCAGCCCAGGATTGGATTGGCAGCCCCACGGTGAGCCATGTAGTGGCTGGTTCTTGCTATCCTCAGCGTCTCCCAGGTTAGGGAATCGGGGCCTGGACTGAGGACTGGGGAGAGGCAGGGCTGGCCCCAAGATGGCACTAGGGGGCGCTGGGCTGCAGGGAGTGGGCTCGGGGCTCTGCAGGGGGTGCTGGGCTGCAGGGAGTGAGGCGGGGGCTCAGCAGGGGGGTGCTGTGCCCCAGGGAGCGGGGTGAGGGCTTGGCAGGGGGCGCTGGGGTGGGGACAGCAGGGGGTGCTGTGCCCCAGGGAGCAGGGTGGGGACTTGGCAGGGGGTGCTGGGGTGGGGACAGCAGGGGTGCTGTGCCCCAGGGAGCGGGGTGAGGTCTCTGCAGGCAGGCAGCAGGGGGCGCTGTGGTACGGCATGGGCTCAGCAGGGGGCCCTCTGCCCAGGGCTGCCCAGAGGATTAAGGGGGCCTGGGGCAAAGCAATTGCGGGGGCCCCTTCCATAAAAAAAAGTTGCAATACTATAAAATACTATATTCTTGTGGGGCCCGGGCCCTGGGGCAAATTGCCCCACTTGCCCCCCCCCCTCCCAGGTGGCCCTGGCTGTGCCCCAGGGAGCGGGTTGAAGGAGCCCTGTACTGACAGCGTCGGGTGACCAGATGAGAGACCTGAAATATCGAGGCGTGGGGCGGGGGGGGGAGGTGTGAGCTGGGGGTGGAGGGAAAAAAAAAACCAAACCAAGAGCCACTGGAGCACAGGAAATACTGGTGGGGGCTAAGCACCCACCAGCAGCTCCACGCCCCGCCCCCCTGCACCAGCTCACCTCCGCCCCTCCTCCTCCTCCTCTCCTGAGCCGGCTGCACATCCTGCTTCTCCCCCTCCAGCGCTTGCGGTGCTTGGGGAAGGGGTGGGGATTTGGGGAGGGAGCGAATGGTGGGGGGCGGGAGGGGACGGGGCCAGGGCAGAGTTGGGGCGGGGGATGGGCACGGGCACAGTCCTGATAAAATCGGGATGTCTGGTCACCCTATGACAGCGAGACGCCCGGTCCCAGGCAAGGGACAGACACAGATGCTGGTTGTCTCCAGTCACTTTATTAGGTGCAGATCCGGGGCCCATGGGAAGCAGTGACCGGGGGTCTGAGCAGTGGCCTGCAGACATGGCTTTGCGACCCCCAAGCTGGGGGGGTGCTGGGCCATAGACGAGCCAGAGGGGGTGGGCAGCACAGTCCCATAACGCCCTGCTGTGATTTAGTAGCAATACCGGCCCCACCCCAGAGGTGGCTGCATCTCTGCCCAGGGTACAGCCCGCGGGGGGGCGTGGGGATGGCCCGGGGTCACCTCTCGTAACCTGGCCTCCAGATGCTGCGCCCCCCCCGTCAATTTCCGCACCCTGCTCAGACCCTGTCTCCCCCCCCCCCCCCGCGCTCTTTTTGACCCTTTTAATCGCTGTAAGAAACGGCTGCAGACTGATGGCAACCAAGGGCAGAGGCGAGGGCAGTGGCCTCAGCAGGGGTGACTGCGCATGCTCAGTCCGTGCGCGCACTAGGGGGCACATGGCGGCGGGCCGAACCGCACCGCAGTGATGACGTAGGAACGGCGCCCGCAGAGGCCGGGCGGGGCCGCTCCGCGCGCGAAACGGTTTCGACCCGTTAGTGGCGGTTGGAGCCGCGCGGCGGGCTCTCGGGGAGGCTCTGACGCGCTGCTGCCCCTTCCCCCCCCCCGTCCCCTGGGGCCTGGCCCGTGGGGACCCTGCCCCGCCCCTGCCCCATAGCAGCGGGGCGGCGTTGAGACACGGCCGGGATGGGCGGGCGCTGGGGGGGCGTGTGGGAATAGGGGTTGCTGGGGTGGTGTGTGGGGGTGCAGTGGGTACTGTGTGGCTGTGTAGGGGGAATAGGGGTGTATGGGGGGCGCTGTGAAGGTGCAAGTGGGCGCTGTTGGGGTGCAGTGGGGGACACTGTGGGGGGAGTGGGGGTGCTGTGTGGCTGTGTAGGGGTGCAGTGGGGGGTGTATGGGGGAGCTGTAGTTAGTGTATGGGGGTGCTGTGGGGGGTGGGGGTGCTGTGTGGCTGTGTAGGGGTGCAGTGGGGGGTGTATGGGGGAGCTGTAGTTAGTGTATGGGGGTGCTGTGGGGGTGTATGGAGGCTGTGGTTAGTGTGGGGGGCACTGTGGGTGGTCTATGGGGGGCGCAGTGGAGGGGCACTGTGTGGCTGTGTAAGGGTGCTGTGAGGGGTGTATGGGGGCGCTGTGGTTAGTCTGTGGGGGGTGTGTGTGGGGTGCTGTGTGGCTCTGCGCTGACCCTGTTCCCCACCACAGGGCCCAGCCATGGCGGTGCTGCACTACTACCAGCGCCCCGGGGCGGAGAGCGTCCTTGTCTCCCTGCTGCGCTCGGCCCAGGCGGTGCTGGGGGGCGTCTGCGCCCTGCACAGGGAGCTGTGCTACAACGTCAGCTGGACAGGTATGGGGGGCCCTGCCTAGGGCTGGGCGGGGGAGGGGGGAGGCACATGGCCGGAGCAGGGTGCCGGGGACGGACGGACGACAACAAGGTTTCTTGAAGCAGCTAGTCCGGGTGGGGCAAGTCTGAAGAGCGGCCAGACTAGGTCAGAGCAAAGGTCCGTCCAGCCCAGCGTCCGGTCTGCCAACAGCGGGCAGTGAACAGAGCAGCGCGACGATTGAATCATCCATCCTGCCTCGGCCAGTCCCAGCTTCTGGCACTCAGGGGTTTAGGGACCCCCAGAGCATGGGGTTGCCTCCCTGCCCAGCCTGGCTAATAGTGACAAGGAAATGGGAAGGTGCCGTCCCAAACGTGAAATGCCTGCGAAGCTGCATGGAAATGTTAAAGACACCGCAATAGAGGCTTAAATTAAATGTATGGCCCCGAATTAAAAAACATAGTTAGGGGACCAAAAAAGTGTCACCGTGGCTAAACAACAAAGTCAAAGAAGTGGTTAGAGGCAAAAAGGCATCCTTTAAAAACTGTAAGTCAAATCCTCCAGAGGGAAATAGGTGAATAAATCTGGCATGTCACGTGTAAAGGTATAATTAGAGAGGCCTCAGGCCAAAAAAGAATTTGAAGAACAATGAGCAAAAGACACAAACTAACAGCAAAAAAAAAAAGGAAGTACATCGGAAGCAGGAAGCCTACGAAACAATCGGTGGCTGCTGGAGGTGGTATGGGAGCACTCAGAGGATGAGGCCGTTGCAGAGAAGCTAAATGAATTATTTGCATTGGTCTTGACTGCAGAGGATGTGAGGGAGATTCCCACACCTGAGCCATTCTTTTCTAGGTGACAGATCTGAGGAACTGTCCCTGGCTGAGGTATCATCTGAGGAGGTTTTTGATAAATTTAACAGTAATAAGTCATTAGGACCAGCTGGTATTCACTCAAAAGTTTTGAAGGAACTCAGATATGAGATTGCACAACTACTAACTGTGGTATGTAACTTATTGCTTTAATTAGTCTCTGTACCAGATGACTGGAGGGGAGCTAATGGGATGCTGATTTTTAAAAAAGGCTCCTGAGGTGATACCGGCAAGTACAGGCTGGGAAACCTAACTTCAGTACCAGGCAAATTGGTGGAAACTCTAGTAAAGAACAGAATTATCAGACCGAGATGAACACAATTTGCTGGGGAAGAGTCAACATGGGTTGAACAGGGAAATCATCCCTCACCCATCGATTAGAATTCTTTGAGAATGTCGGCCAACATGGACACGGGGGATCCAGCGGATATTGTGTTTGGACTTTCAGAAAGCTTTTGACAAGGGCCCTCACCAAGGCTCTTAAGCAAAGCAGGCAGTCACGGGATAAGTCATGGGATCGTCTCATGGCTCAATAAGTGGAGAGAGGAAATAGGGTAGGAATAAAGGGTCAGTTTTCAGACTGGAGAGAGGTAAATCATGGTGTCCCCCAGGGGTCTGTACTGGGACCAGTTCCGTTCAACATATTCGTAAATGATCTGGAAAAAGGGGTAATCCAGGAGGTGGCAAGATGTGCAGACGATACAAAATTATTCAAAATAGTCGAGCCCAGAGCTGAGTGTGAGGAGTGACAAAGGGATCTCACTGAACTGGGTGTGGAAAGTTGTTAGAGCTGCCGTTGCGGCTATTCTTGGAACCCCGATGTCAGCTGCAGTAGCAGACTGTGCAGCATGTTAATTCAGCAGCGCTCGGTGTTAGTCATAAGAGAGACCAGAGACGACCAGTGCCAGCTGCCCCAAACAGCTCAAACACCCCTCCCCCACCCCCTCTGCCAGCAGCCTCCCTCTCCCGGGCAGCAGCAGCCTCTCGGTGCAGTTCCCAGCTGTTCCTCTGCCTCTCCCTGCCTGGGGAAGCTCGTGGCTCAGCTGCTCTGCAGGGAGGGAGCCCAAACACATCGTGATTGAGCAATCTGGGGTGGGGGGCATCTCACCTCATATTTCCCCCCACACACACACTTCAGCTCCGATAAAGACCACAGGCTCGGTTCAGTGCCGAAGGAGCTCAGGTAGGTTTATTGTTGACGACGCCCAGTACTAGTGCCCTGGCTCTGTGGTGACAGGTGCACTAACACATGTATGCCCGCGACAATGGTACCAGCTCAGTCAGGACGCTGTCCCCTCGGCTGGACATAGATGCCGTTCCTGTGACTTTGGTACAAACCAGTTAGGTATTACGCTCCAGACGTTGTTAGTTACCACCCTTCTCCTTGTACCTGCTGCTTTGAACAAATCATTTGTGATGGGTTCGGTCACAGAGCCCCCCCTTGGGACTGTCACCGGATGTGCTGAATTTTCCTCTGAGCCCGTTTTCCCTACCAGCTTGGGACTCCAGAGCCCTGCCCTATTGAATCAGACACACAAGCCTGCTGCAACACAGACCCAGGTCTGGTCCATACCCTCAAAGCTGCAGACTGTAACCAAAAACTGCTCAGCAGGTCACCTATCTCCAGCACCCAGACACCTAGTTTCCAATGGGGTCTAAACCCCAAATAAATCCATTTTACTCTGTATAAAGCTTATACAGGGTAAACTCATATATTGTCCGCCCTCTATACCGCTGATAGAGAGAGATGCTCCTCCAGGTATTAATCACTTACTCTGGGTTAATTAATAAACGAAAGTGATTTTATTAAGTATAAAAAGTAGGATTTAAGTGGTTTCAAGTAATAGAACAAAATAAATTATCAAGCAAAACGAAACAAAATACGGAAGTCTAAGCCTAATACATTAAGAAACTGAATACAGGTAAATCTCACTCTTAGAGATGGTCCAATCAGCTTCTTTCTCAGACTAGACTCCTTCCTAGTCTGGGCCCAATACAGAGCCGTCCCTACGCATACGCAAAGTCCACAGCTGCGTAGGGCACCACATTTCCTGGTGTCCTGTGCAGCTGTGTACTGCTCCAGTCCCAACGCCGCCTCTTCCCACCCTGCTCCACCCCTTCCCCAAAGCCCCTGCCCCGCCTTGTCCTGCCCCTGCTTCACCCCAGCCACGCCCCCACTCCACCCCTTCCCCTAAGCCCCTGGTCTACTCCGCCCCGCCCCTGCTTCGCTCCAGCCGTGCCCCCACTCCCGTGAGGACAGCCACAGGGCCGGGCCTGCACTCACCGGCGGCAGGAAGTGCAGCGACCCGGCCCCAGCCACACTGCCGGTGAGTGCTGGGGGGCGGTCACCCCCTGCCCCCTAAGCCAGCCCCCGGCCCTATACCCCTTGTTAGTTCCAGCAGGCATCTTAGGAGAAGAGCAGGGGATTCCACATGACTGGCACCCCCTTTGTTCTCTTCCATCCCCTTGTATAGCTTTGGCACAAGGGGGTTCCCACCCCTCCTTCCAAATGGAAAAGCACCAAGTTTAAGATGGATTCCAGTATCAGGTGACATGTTCACATGTCCTGTGAGACTTCATTACCCACTGGCTGGCACCCACGTATACAGAAGGCTTGCAAGTAAACAACAATTCACAACCAATTGTCTGAGTCAACGGAAGCCATTAAGATTCTTAACCGCCATTAATGGCCCACACTTTGCATAACTACAATAAGACCTCACAGTTATATTTCATATTTCTCATTTTGGATACAAGAGTGATACGTGTGTACAAACAGATTGACCACACTCAGTAGATTATAAGGTTTGTAATGATACAAGAGACCTTTTGCATAAAGCATATTCCAGTTAGATCATATTCACACTTATAAACATATTTTTATGAAGCATATGGAATGCAATGTCACACCATTCTTATCCATTCTCCTGTCAGTCCCTCCTTAGAAGCTACTTGAGAACTCTGTGTGTTCTTGCACCATCCTCTTGGGTCAGGCGTGTGCTTTCTTGGATAGCCAGTACCTCGTGTGTTGTTATTTTGCCAAGGCCCGGCCTCCTCTGGTTCCCAGCCTTTGGGTCACACTGTTAGTCAAGCCCAGGGCTCCAGCGAGGCCTAAACTGAGTGACTGAGCATCAAAATGGCAGGTGAATTTCAGTGTTGATAAATGCAAAGTAATGCACATTGGAAAACATCATCCCAACTATGCACGCAAAATGATGGGTCTAAATTAGCTGTTACCACTCACGAATGAGATCTTGGAGTCATTGTGAATAGTTCTTGGAAAACATCCACTCAACGTGCGGTGGCAGTCAAAAAGCGAACAGAATGTTAGGAACCGCTAGGAAAGGGATAGATAATAGGACAGAAAATATCATATTGCCTCTATATTAATCCATGGTACGCCCACACCTTGAATATTGCAGGCAGTTCTGGTTGCCCCATCCTAAAATAAATAGAATTGGAAAAGGTACAGAGAAGGGCAACACCAATGATGAAGGCTATGAAACCGCATCCGTGTGAGGAGAGATTAAAAAGACGAGGACTGTTCATCTTGGAAAAGAAAGGGTTATGAACTCATGACAGGTGTGGAGAAACTGACTAGAAAAGTGTTATTTACCCTTTCACATAACACAAGAACCAGGGATCACCCAATGAAATGAACAGGCAGCATGTTTAAAACAAACCAAAGGAAGTATTTCTTCCCCCCAACACCCAGTCAAACCCTGGAACTCTGCTGGGGGTGTTGTGAAGGCCAAAAGTATAACTGGGTTCAACAAGGAATTAGTCCTTCAATGGCTGTTAGTCAAGGTGGTCAGGATTACAAGTCCCCTAGCCTGTGACTGCCAGACTCTAGGACTGGATGACAGGCTGGGTCACTCGACCATTGCCCTGTTCTGTTCCTTCCCTCTGAAGCATCTGGCACCGGCTGGTGTCAGAGACCGGACACTGGGCTAGAAGCACCATTGGGCTGACCCAGTCTGGCCGTTCTTATGAGGCTGGGAGTGGGCATCAGATCCCATGGGGGCTCCCCTCAGCCCCATTGCCTTCTGGGTAACACAGCCCCATTCCTCCCCTGCAGGCGCGTCGCCCCCCAGCCCCCAGGAGACCCAGCTGCTGCACTGGCTCTTCGGCTGCCCCTTGGAATCCGGAGACGTTGCCACGGAGTCCTTCCTGCGCCCAGCGCCCACCGACCTGCTGATAGAGATCGGGCCACGGTGCGTCCCAGGGCTCAGCAGGGGGCTCCGTGCCTTGGGCGTGGAGGGGAGTTGAATAGGGGGCGCTGTGTTGCAGGGAGCGGGCCAGGGGCTCAGCAGGGGGCGCTCTCCCCGGCAGACAGGACTGGCCCCAGTGAGGTGCTAGGGAGCGCTGGGCTGCAGGGAGCGGGGTGGGAGGCTTAGGAGAGGGTGCTGTGGAGTGGAGGGGCAGCTGTGGGGCTGGGCCTGTCTCTCCCGGGACTGTTACCCCTTTCCTGGCGCAGGCTGAACTTCTCCACGGCGTTCTCCACCAACGTGGTGTCCGTGTGCCAGGCCGCGGGGCTGGGCTGCATTGACCGTGTCGAGCGCTCCCACCGCTACCTGCTGCAGGTGAAGGGGCATGTGGGACCCCTGGGAACAGGGTGGACGACACCTGGAGGATGGGTGGGGGGGCACACAGCACTCGGAGTGGGTGGAGGGTTCCAGCATTGTGGGGTTAATGGAGCTCTGTGGTGGGAGGGAGTTCCTGGGCCACTTGCTGCCCCCGGTCCCCAATGCCCAGATCTCCAGGTGGGGGAGCGGGGGGGGGGCTTGGTCTGTCTGTCTCCCCTTCCTGGTCTTAAGGGGGGGGCAGGCGATGGGTCTCCTTTCTCACCCTGAGGGAGGGGCCGCTGCTTCCCGTTCTCACCCCTGTCCCCTCCCTGGCAGTGTGCCCAGCGCCCCACGCCCCCTGAGGAGGATGCCCTGGTGGCGGTGCTCAGTGACCGGATGACAGAGCAGAGCTACAAGGAACCAATCCGCAGTTTCGCTGTGGCCGCCCACCCTGCCCCCACCTGGGATGTGGATGTGCTGGCGGGGGGCCGCACTGCGCTGGAGAGAGCCAGCCAGAAGCTGGGTATGGGGGCAGGGAGAGCTGGGGCGGGGAAGAACCTGTGTATGTGGGGAGGGTCTGGGCACTGAGTACCAGGACTAATGCGGGGGGTTGGGTATCATGGGAGTTGGGGGGGGTTGGGCATGGGGAGCTGGGTATGTTGCTGGGGGGGAGTGGCTGAGCACACTGCAGGAGGTTGGGGTTGGGGGGGTGAGATGGGCACCCCGGGGTTGAAGCTGGGGCTCTGCAAGGTGAATTACTGGGGTGGGGTGAGAGCTGTGGCTGACCCAATGTCCCAGGCAGCCCGGGTTCGGGCCCCCCGATGTCCTGTGGGGGGGTTTCTGCCCACCATGGAGAGTGCTGGGGGTCAAAGGTCTGTGGCCCCCCCTTCCACCCTAACCCCCTTTCCCCGCAGGCCTGGCCTTCGACTCCTGGGACCTGGATTTCTACACTGATCTCTTCAAGAGATTCGGGCGCAACCCGACCAGCGTGGAGTGCTTCGACCTGGCCCAGTCCAACAGGTACCGGCCCCGAGTCCCTGCCCTGGGCCCGGATGGGAGCCGGCACCCCCTAGAGGGGGGAGGCCCCTGCCCCATTCCCCACCCTCCTGAGCCACCCAGTCCCTGCCCTGGGGCCGGATGGGATCCGGCGCCCCCTAGAGGGGACAGGCCCCATGTCCCATTCCCAGTCCCCCTGAGCCAGCCAGTCCCTGCCCTTCGGCTGGATCGGAGCCAACGTCCCCTAGAGTGGAAAGGACCCATGTGACATTCACCTCCCCTCTGAGCCAGGGGCCGAATGGGAGCTGGCACCCCGTATATGGGACAGGCCCCATGTCCCATTCCCTGGTTCCCCCTCAGTCAGCCAGTTCCTGCTCTGGGGTCGGATGGGAGCCACACCCGTCTAGAGGGAAAGCCCCCCCCCCCCCCGTGTGCATGTCTCACCCCCATCCCTGCCCCCCAGTGAGCACAGCCGACACTGGTTCTTCAAAGGGCGCCTCCTAGTGGACGGGAAGGAGATCGGGGAGTCGCTGTTCGAGTCCATCATGCGGACCCAGGAGAGCAGCAACCCCAACAACGTCATCAAGTTCTCGGACAACAGCAGGTGCCTGCCTGGGACCCCCATTCGTGGGACTGGGAATGGGGCTTGAGCTGACGGCTGGGGTTGGATTCAAACTCTCACTTCCTCTGGGCTAAGGATGGGGTGGGGCTCTGTGGCTGGGGGCCATGGCTGGGATGCTCTCCCCCTCACCCCCATGGAGCAGGGATGGCTGTGGGGCTCCGTGGCTGATGGCCGTGGCTGGTTCTCTCCCCTCAGTGCCATCCGGGGCAGGGCCGTGTGTTCCCTGTGGCCCCGCGACCCATCCCGCCCCAGCCGCTTCGAGAAGAGAACGTCGACCCGGCACGTCATCTTCACTGCAGAGACCCACAACTTCCCCACGGGTCAGTGCGGGGGTAGGGGGCTGTGTGTGCAGGGGAATATCTATGTACGGGGGGTTCTATCCATGGGGTGGGATGGGGGTGTGGCCAGGGGGCTGTGTGGCAGTCTGCAGGGGGGACATTGGGGGAAATCCGGGGCGGGGAGAGTGAATGTGAGGGGATGTCTGTGAGACAGGGGTCTGTGGGGGAGGTAGTGTGGCTGTGGGGTGGATGTGTGGGGGATGGCAGTGCATGGGGTTATGGGCTGTGGAGGGGTGGATGCCACACGCTTTTCCTGCTCCCCCATGCGCATGGCACTCTGGGGTGTGTGTTTTGGGGGATACCTAGTTGCGGTGTCTGCTGGCTCTCACCCCGTCTCCTCCCCAGGGGTGGCCCCATTCAGCGGCGCCACAACGGGAACAGGCGGGCGGATCCGGGACGTGCAGTGCACGGGGCGTGGGGCCCACGTCATCGCCGGCACGGCCGGGTACAGCTTCGGAAACCTGCACATCCCTGGTGAGAGCAGGGGGGCCCCACTTCCCCCCAGCTGCAGCCCCCCTCCACCATCGGCCCCTCCCCTTCCTCAGGCCCCCCTTCTTCCCCGACTGCATTGCCCCCCCCGGGTCACAGGGGCCCTTCTGCCCCTGGGAGCAGGCCCCAGGACACTCTCCCTCCAGCCCTGAGCCCGTCCTCCACCTGGCCATGGGCCTGGGACCCTCCACTCCCCACCCTTGGACCCCCCTTGACCTCATCTTTACACCCCGACTTGTCCTGCCTGTAGGTTTATCCTAGGAAATGCCTCCTGGACTGGCTCAGCCCTTCTGTCTGTTCGCCCCCTGCCCCCTTTCCTTGGCACAAACGCGGCAATTTCAGGCTGCAGAGCTCGTCACCTCCCTTATCCTGCCTTCCACCTACCCCCCTGGCTAGCCTCCCTAGCTGCCCTCCCCTGTGCCAGCCCTGCCCCCCAAGGGCTACACCGGAGCGTGCCCCAGACCCTGCATGGCTCTGCCACAGCAGGTATCTTGCAGAGCAAACAGATCAATCTCCTCCTTTTAACCCTGTGGTTGGGAGGCAGGGTCTTCTCTGGGTTACTCCCTATCCCCCACCTCCCTCCCCACCAGCCGTCCCCACGGCGCTGCCTGCTGGGCTCCTGCTCTGGTCCTGGTCCCAGGGCGCTGCGGCTCATCCAGTCCCGGGCTTAGCGCGGGTTCAGAACCCGTCCTTCCTGGCCAGCCCACCACCACCTGAGCCGTCCGGCTGCCTTTCTCACCCCTTGGGGTTGGGGCCCCCGGCATCCAGACTGGCACCCCCTGACCGTCTCTCCCTGCCCCCAGGCTACCCTCTGCCCTGGGAGGACCCGGCATTGCCCTACCCCCAGAACTACGCCCACCCCCTGCAGGTGGCCATCAGGGCCAGCGATGGCGCCTCTGACTACGGCAATAAGTTTGGGGAACCTGTCCTGGCTGGTGAGTGTTGGAGGGGCCGTTCTGGGGGGTTGGGGGGACCCATCCTGGCAGGTGGGGGCTGAGCCGTATCTTCACAGGGGTGTGCTCCTGAGTCACCCCATCAGCTGCCCTCTTGCTCCCCCCTCAGAAGGGGACCTGCCTGGCCCTCCCCTGCCCTTCTGGGGCGACCAGGAGGCTGTGGGCTCTAGTCTGTCCTCTGCTGGTTGGGGACGTGCCTGGCTCTGGGGCAGGGGTTGGGGAGCACAGGAAGGGGATGTGCCTAGCTCTGGGGTGGAGCGGGGTGGTGGTGGTATATAACAACCTGGGCAGGGGAAATGCCAAGCACTAAAGGGCCGTGGTGCCCAGTGGGGAGGGGCAGAGTGATTGGCTGCGGGGGTGTCTCTGCTCCAACCCTCCGTCTCGGGCAGGGTTCGCCCGTTCCTTCGGCCAGTGGCTCCCCAACGGGCAGCGCCGCGAATGGATCAAGCCCATCATGTTCAGCGGGGGGATCGGCACCATGGAGGACATTCACGTGCTCAAGGAGCCCCCCAAGCCTGGTGAGTACCCCCCAAACCCTGCCCCTGCCTGCAAAGCACCCCTCCCCCACCCAAGCCACTACCCAGTAAACCCCTCTGCCTTCCCCACCCCCCATACTGCAGTTCCCCCCCAGCCTAAGACCCGCTCTGTCCTGCCTCCCCCACACCCCATGTTGACTGGGAGCAGCCATCTGGCCCCAGGTCTCCCCCCCCCGCCCTTTTGCGAGGGGGGGCGAGGGAGAGGCAGTGCCCCGCCATGGGGCTGGGGTAGGTTTTGTGGGGTCTTACTGTTCACTCTCCCTCCAGGGATGCTGGTGGTGAAAGTGGGGGGTCCCGTGTACCGGATCGGAGTCGGGGGGAGCTCAGCCTCCTCCATCCAGGTGTGTGTGGAGGGGCCCTGGAGGGGGCAGGGACAGAGGGTTTCCCTGTGGGCGCTGGTGGGGGAGGGGGATCAGCAGAGCCCTGGGCAATGCCCCACCCCCACCCGCTGCCTGTACTCTTACCCCCCCCCAGGGTCATCTCGCCCCATCACTGCTCCCATTCAGCCCTGACCCCAAGTTACCCACCTTTCCCCTCCCCCGCCCCCAGATATAGTGTGGCCCATTTGGCCCCCTCCCACAGTGGGGCCTGCCCCCCTCAGCCCTGGCCCTGTGTTACCCCCACCCTGCTACATACCCCCCATCAACAGTGGGGCCCACGCAGCCCTCGCCCCCATGTCTGTAGTGGGGCCTGCCCGGCCTCATCCCTATGTGACCCCCAGGATGCCCCCAATTCACTTCCCAATGAGGCCCAAAGTCCTGTGTGCCCAGCGCTGCCTGAGAGCAGGGAGCAATGGGGGGCATTGGGGCTGTGTTGGGATGAGCCCTGTCCCCCCCCCCCCAGAAGCAGCGGGACAACACCGGCAAGCTGGATTTGGGGGTGCTGCTGGGAGGATTAGGCTGGGGGGTTGGGGCTGTATCAGAAGGTTTGTGTCGGGTGACCCCCCCATCTCCCACCAGGTGCAGGGGGACAACGCCAGCGAGCTGGATTTCGGGGCGGTGCAGCGGGGGGACCCCGAGATGGAGCAGAAGATGAACCGGGTGCTGCGGGGCTGCGTGGAGAGAGGGAAGGCCAACCCCATCTGCAGCCTCCACGACCAGGGGGCCGGGGGCAATGGTGAGGGAGGGGCAGGGCCAGGAGTGGTGGGTGGGGGATCAGGGCCTGGGTGGGGCGTAGTGGAGGGGCCGGTGCCCCAGCAGTGGGTGACTCTTCCTGCCCTGCCCTCCAGGGAATGTGCTGAAGGAGCTGAGTGACCCAGCCGGGGCCGTGATCTACGCCAGCCGCTTCCAGGTGTGTGGGGACACCCTGACTCCCATGCCAGCTGCTCCCAGGGGTGTGGGGACCCCCTGCCCCCCATGCCCGTGACTCCCAGGGTTGTGGGGACCCCCTGCCCCCCACGCCAGCTCTTCTCAGGTGTGTGGGGACCTCCTGCCCCTCTGCCTCCCCATGCCAGCTTCTCCCAGGGTGTGGGGACCCCTGTCCCCCCAGCCTGCCCTGTCATACCAGCTGCTCCCAGGAGTGTGGGCCTGTCCCAGTTTCAGGGTAGCTGGGCATGACCCCATGGCTCCACCACTCCATAGTAGGGGTGGGGCTGCAACCCCCCGCAATCTACCAGGACTCTCCCCTCTCAGGGCTGGGCCCAGTTGTAGCCCCCATCCCCAGTGTTCGGTTCTGGGGAGCTGTGGGGACTCACCCCCATGGGGCTGCCCCAGCAGCGCTCCGGTGTGGGGCTGCCAAGCAGGGACACTCCCTGCCCTCAGCCAGCGGCTCCAGGGTGTGTGGGACCCCGATTTCCCCCCAGCCCCCAATCTCACCGTATGGCTGCTCCCAGCCCCTGTCCCCACCCTGTCCGTCACTCCTGAGTATGTGGGACCCCCCACATCCCTCCCCCTCCAGCCCCTTCTGGGTGTGTGATCCAACCTCCTCCCCTCCCCCCTCACTGACACCCATGTACCCCCCAGCTGGGGGACCCCACGCTGAGCGTGCTAGAGATCTGGGGGGCCGAGTACCAGGAGTCCAACGCCCTCCTGCTGCGCCCCACTGACACCGCACTGCTGCAGCGCCTGGGCCAGCGCGAACGCTGCCCCGTGGACGTCGTGGGCACCATCACCGGGGACGGACGGGTACGGGCGCTGGTGTGGAGGGGACAGGTCGGGGCTGGGGGCACAGGGCTAGGGGTGGGCAGCTGGGAGCTGCATGCGATGATGGGTTTAGTCTAGGGACAGGCGGCTGCGGGGGGACTGGTGCATGGGAGTGTCACGGAATGTGGGGGAGTCAGGGCCCTGCACCCACTTCCTGCGATTGTGACTCTCAGCCAGGCAGTGACACAGAAGGTTTATTAGCCGACAGGAGCCCAGTCCAACACAGAGCTTGTAGGTACAGACGCAGGACCCCCGTCAGGTCCCTCTTGGGGGTTGGGGAGCCCAGACTCGGGTTCTGGGCCTTCCCCTGTCTCCCCAGCCAGCTCCGAACTCACACCCCTTCCCACTGCCTCCCCCAGCCACCCCCCGGCCCCTCCTCCAGCCTTTGTCCAGTTCCCTGGACAGAAGGTGTCACTGGCCCCAGCACCCTCCTGGGCGCAGGTTACGCAGGGCGGCCGCCAGCCTTTACCTGGGATCCCTCAAGTCTCATCCCTCAGTGAAGTCCCCCCCTTATTTCCCACCCCCGTCTAGTACTGGTGCAGCACCCCGGGAAATGAAACCACGCCCCGTCTTAGCAGAAGACAGTCAAACCTCCATGCCCCATTCCCAGGTTAATGCTCCCTACTCCGTCGCAGGGAGATGGGCCCAGGTCCAGGACTTGTGTGGGGTGTCGTGGGGGGGGGGGGGAATGGCTGGGCCTGGGGTGAGCTGGGCCTGGGGGATAATTGGGATTCATGGCGGGGGGGGGCAGGCCTGGGTCCAGGAGTGTGGGGGGAAGGTGGGGCCTGGGCTGGCACTGGTGGGTGGGGGTTGGGGCCCTGGAGGAGGTGAGGCCAGGACTTTTGTGGGGAAGAGTGGGCTGGGCCCCAGGGGGGCAGGGCTCGCATGGGCAGACAGGGCACATGGGCTACTGGAGGGGTGTCAGTTCTGGCTGGGCCTGATGGGGTTTGTGGGGGGAGGCCGAGCCCAGGCGGGTTCATGGGGGGGACGGCATCAGGGCTCAGTGGGTAGGACTAATGGGGGGGGCCTGGGTCACTGGGGTTTGGTGCATGCGGGGTTTGAGCCGGGGGTGGAGTTGGCGTGCGGGGGCTGGGTCTGTGGAGCGGTGCCAGGGTGGGGTTGGCTGGGACTGGGGGGGACACTGGGGGGCTCTGATGAGAGGGGGGTGGTGTAGCACAAAGGATGGGACGGGGATACTGTTAGCAGAGATGGGGCCGGGAGGTGGGGAGAAGGGGGTGCCACAGGATGGGATCTCAGTGGGGGCAAAGGAGGGGGTGGACACAGGCTGGTTGGGGTGAGAGGGGGCTGGCAGTGGGGTGGGAGCACCCCCAGGCAGCACCTTCCCCCCCTCCCCCGCCGCCGCTGGAGAACCCGTGGCTCCGGCAGGGCCCTGCACGTCTGGATACTTGGGGGGCTGGCCCCCTGCAAGGGGGGCCCCACGGCGCTGCTGGCCAGGGCAGATGGCTCTGATGCGGGCCCCAGAATTGCAGCGTAGCCATGGGGCTCAGACTGGGGGGAGGGTCCCAGAGCCAGGCTCCAGCCCGAGCCCGGCGACTACCCAGCTAGTTGTAGGCCCGAGGCCGGGCTCTGCCCCAGCCCCTCACTCCAGCCCCTTGGGCGAAGCCCAAACTCCCCGCCCGGGGGCAGGAAGCAGGCATCCCTCCGGGGCTGGAGGTGGGGTGCTAACCGCTAAGCCCCCTGGCCTCCCACACCCCCAGTGCACCGGGGCATAGGATGGGGGGCTGTGACTCGTCACTGACCCCCCCCCATGGGTTACCCCCCCTCAGATTGTGCTGGTGGACGACCTGGAGGCCCCGGTGACGGACATGGCGCGGGTGAAGCCCAGTGGGAAGAAGATGCCGGTCAACCTGCAGCTGGAGGGGGTGCTGGGCAAGATGCCACAAAAGGTACGGGGGAGCCCTGGGGTCACACCCACAGATCCCCCCAGCCTGCCCCCCCACGGCACCCTCTGCTGGGAGAGGCCAGGGCTGTAGTAGCCAGGAGCTCCCCCCACAGACAATGCCCCCACCCAGCCCACTGTGACGCCCCCTGCTGGGAAAGGTCAGGGTTGGAGTAGCCAGGAGCTCCCCCCATAGATGGTGCCCCCCCGATCCCCACAGCGCCCCCTGCTGGTTTAACTCATGAATTTCCCATCTTTTCTCCAGGAATTTGTCTTGTCCCGCCACAGCCCAGCCCTCCGCCGCCTGTGCCTGCCCCCTGGGCTGAGTGTGGGGGACGCCCTGGAGCGGGTCCTGCGGCTGCCGGCCGTGGCCAGCAAACGCTACCTGACCAATAAGGTACCAGCCCCTGCCCCCCGGGGGTGTGGCCCAAGTGAGCTCCTGACCCTGTGTCTCTACCCACCCCCACCAGAGGGTTAGTGCCTCGTGCCCCCTGCCACTTATCTCTGCCCCCTGGGTGGCAGCATCCCCACACCTGATCCTGTGTCTCTGCCCTCCCGAAGGGGAAAGTGCCCCGAGTCCCCGGGCGATGCTCTGGAACTGCTCCCCACAAAGCCAGGCAGGACTCTGGGGAGCCTCCTCTCTCGGAGCAGACTGTCTCCAGGGCAAGCAGCTTCCAGCTTCCTGGGTCTGACCTCGGAGCATTCAGCCTCCCTGCCCCACCAAGCGCTTCCCACAGCGAGTCCACCCGGGCGGGGTCCTGGGGCAGCCAGAGCGTCCTGTCCCCCAACCCCGCAGCCAGACGTGACTCTCAGCCAGCCGGGAAGACAGCAGGTTTATTAGTCGACAGGATCACAGCGTAGGGCAGAGCTCTTTAGCACAGAAATCACTGACTTTCAGCCAAGTCCATCTTGGGGTGGGGAGCCCAGAGCCAGGGCTCTGCCTCCCCCTGCACCCCAAGCCAGCCAGACCGACTCCTTCCAGCTGCTGGGCCCCTGCCCAGCCCATTGCTCCTTCTCTAGCAAGAGTCACCTGGTCGCATCCCCCTCCGGGGTCTCAGGTTGCGAAGGGGCGACCACAGCATCCCTGCAGGCAGCTGGAGCAGCCCCCAGACAAGTCACACACGCTTATTCCCACCACCTAGACACTGGTGCAACACAGGGAAACTGAGGCACACACAGTGTTCATGCAAAACAGTGAGGCTCACATATAACATAAGAAGGGAGAATCTCCACTACGTCACATCCTGAACCCCACCCCGTGTCTCTGTCGTCGTCCCCTGGGGGGGTAATGCCCCACGACCCCCGGCCCCAGCTCTCTGCTCCCCACCCCAGAGGGGTCCTGTCGCCCTGAGCCGTGTCCCTGTGGCAGGTGGACCGGTCGGTGACGGGGCTGGTGGCCCAGCAGCAGTGCGTGGGGCCCCTGCACACCCCCCTGGCCGACGTGGCCGTGGTGGCTCTGTCCCCCTTCGAGACGGTGGGGGCGGCCACGGCCCTCGGGGAGCAGCCGCTCAAGGGACTGATCGACCCGGGCGCGGGGGCCCGGCTGGCCGTGGGCGAGGCGCTCACCAACCTGGTCTTCGCCAACGTCACCGATCTGCGGGTGAGTCGCCCTGTGCGCCGTGGGGGAGAGATTGGGGTGCTGGGGGGGTCTACTTGGGGAGGGCTGGTCTGTGTCTGACATTTCCCCCCATAGCTAATCCTCCTCTGCCCCCTTTGCCCCCAGGACATGAAGTGCAGTGGGTATTGGAGGGGGAGGGGTGTCATGGGGCTGTATCGGGGTCCCGTGTCTCACCCCACTTTATTCCCAGGATACGAAGTGCAGCTGGATCTGGATATGGGGGGGAGGGGGGCATGGGGTTGTGAGCTCCTGTGGCTGATTCTCTCCCTCCTTCCCCTCTGGGATGTGACGTGCAGCAGGAACTCGGGGGGTTGTGGTGCAGTGGGGTGGTTGTCGAGCTGTCGGGGGACCATGGCTGACCCTTTTTCGACCCCCCAGGATGTGAAATGCAGCGGGCACTGATTGTGGAGGCTGTGGGACAGCCATGGGGCAGTGCGGGGCGGGGGGGGAGGGGGCATGGGGCTGTATGGGGGCCCAATGGCTGACACCCTCAGGACGTGAAGTGCAGCAGGCATTGGTTGTGGGGGCCATAGAGCTGGGGCGCAGTGCGGGGGGGAGGCTATGGGGGGGGCATGGGGGTTTATGGGGCCCCGTGGCTGACCCCCAGTCCCTCCAGGATGTGAAGTGCAGTGGGAACTGGATGTGGGCGGCCAAGCAGGCGGGCGAGGGCGCGGCGCTGGTGGATGCCTGTGGGGCCATGTGCGAAGTCATGGCCCAGCTGGGGGTGGCCGTGGACGGGGGCAAGGACTCGCTCAGCATGGCGGCCCGTGTGGGCACGGACATCGTCATGGCGCCCGGTGAGTGTGGGGGTGGGCTCTGCCCCTTCGCCCTGCCCCTGAAGCCCCCTACCCCAATCTCTGTGAGCCCCCTTGCCCCTCTGTCTCCAGCCCCCCTGTGTCCCCAGACCCCCCCCTCCCCCCCGACAGACCTCCACCCTCCCTCGGACCATGCCCCGTGGCAGCCACGTAACCTCTCCACGGTCAGCAGGCCGAGCATCTGTCCATGGGGAAACTGAGGCACATCACCAGATGCCTCATCTCCCATAAACCTCTGTTAGAGGAGTGTGCGCACGAGGGCCGCCCCATGTCCATTCCGAAAGCTACTGCCCCATGCCCCCTCTGACCCCACTGCAGCCAGGCCTCACACCCACATCCACCCCCCAAAGGGCCCCCGATTCATCCCCTGCAGGTGTCCTGGCTTTCTTGCCCCTGGGAGCCCCGAGTTCTGCCCTTCCAAGCTATCCTGGCCCCCCAAACTGCCTCTTTCCCCCGCCCCCCCCAAAGCTAGCTGGACTCCCCACTGACCTCATCCCTTCTCTCCACAGGGACATTGGTCGTCTCAGCCTACGCCGTGTGTCCGGACATCATGGCCACCGTCACACCCGACCTCAAGTGCCCTGATGGCAAAGGTGAGGGGCGGGGGGCTGGTTGAATCAGGGGGGCAGGGAATGGGATATGGGGCCTTTCCCCTATAGGGGGTGCTGGCTCCCGTCTGGTCTCAGGGCAGTGACTGGCTGGCTCAGGGGTGCTGGGAATGGGACACGGGGCCTGTCCCTTCTAAGGTATGCTAGCTCTGATGTGCCGCAGGCCAGGGACTGGCTGGCTCAGGGGGGCGGGGAATGGGGCCTGTCCCCTCTAGGGGGCGCTGGCTCTGATGTGCCGCAGGCCAGGGACTGGCTGGCTCGGGGGACCCTGATGTCCGGCTCTGACCCCATCTCTCTTGCCCTGCAGGGGCCCTACTGTACGTGGAGCTGTGCCCAGACCGGCACCGGCTGGGGGGCAGTGCCCTGGCGCAGTGCTACTCCCAGCTGGGGGATCGCTGCCCAGACCTGGAGAACGCGGACACCCTGGCAGCCTGCTTCCGCCTCACCCAGCAACTGCTGCAAGGTGTGTGTCCGTCCGTCCGTCTGACCCTGCCGCCCCCTGCTGGGGGGGATGAGCCCTGCTCTGGGTGTGTGTGTGTCCCTGCCCCCTGGGGCTGTGTGTGTTGGGGGGTGCCCCTGGGGCTGGAGGGGGAGCTGGGTGTGGGCACCCCCAGGGTCTGAGGGGAGGGGCTGGGGGGTGGAGTGAAGCTGGCATGGGTGCCCATCGGGGATTGGGGGGGAGATGGGGGGGCTGGGAGAACCTGTCCCACCCGGTGCTGTCCTCCCCCCGCCCCAGAGTCGGTGGTGAACGCTGGGCATGATGTGAGCGATGGGGGGCTGGTGACCTGCCTGCTGGAGATGGCCTTCGCCGGGAACTGTGGGCTGCAGGCCGAGCTGGTGGCACCCGGGGCCAGTGGTGAGTGGGGGGCCCTGCCCCGAACCCCAAAACCTGGTGGTAAATGGTGGACCTCGCCCTGAACCCCCATCCTGAA